CTCCTCGTCAGTTGTTTCCTGTTTCTTTTTGTGTGCAGAAACCTCCAGAATCTGACCTACTTGACCATTGGTGAAAACGACCTGCAGAGTCTTACACCTGCAATAGGTGGGCATTTGAGTTGATTTGTTGCGTTTTTGTTGGGGAGTTGGAGGTGTGCAATGTGGTGAAACTGGGCGGCATTTGTTGTGAATGATTTGTTGAGTTGAGAGGCAAAATCCATGTCCACACGTGTCGGCGGAGGAGAGCACGCCCCTTCTGTTTGCAATGCATTCTGTTTGACGTATTGTTGGGATATGGGCAAACGTCTTTTGCTCGGGTGTGTGAGTTGCGATCTCTCGCCAAGGCCGCTTCTCTTTCCAGTCCTTAACGGAGGTAACCGTTTTACTCGACAGCTTCTAGGGATGAGGATTAAAAAATGTTTGTTTTCCACTGTCATTGGTGAAGAGAGAGTGGTTGGATTTAGCTAGAGGAGATCGAAGTGTCGGTTGCTGAATGGAGGATTGTTGTTAGTTGAAGCTTCTGTGTCGACTAATGGTGCGTTGAGGCAGGTCAGAATTACTGACTGATGGAGAGGCTACTGGTGGGGCAGAAGAACAGATTGTGGAGGACTGCATCGGCTATCCCTGTCGATGTGGGCATGTGAATGGGGCGTATGAGTTATTGCATGCAGTCTTGGGGAGGTAGTGGTGGATTGGTAGTACCATGCTCCAAGGTGAGAATGTAAACTGGGAGTGGTAGGGATCAATCAGACTAATTCACGTGGCATTGGTAGGGCGTCAAGGGGACTATGAGGTAAGTGTTTGTTGTATTGGTTTGCAGGGAAACTGAAAAGCTTGGAGACGTTGTACCTGAATGATAACTTCAATCTTCACGACCTGCCATCGGAGTTGGCAATGTGCTGTTCTCTGCAAATCATGTCCATCGAGAACTGTCCATTATCAAAGATTCCCGTTGAGGTGGTGTCGGCTGGACCGTCTCTTGTTATTCAGGTTAGTTGGTTGAAGAAATGTGATGAGATTGCTCACCGGTTGTACACGATTCCTCGTCTTCACGACTCCCCATTTGTTGTTTGTTGGTGGTGCTAAATCATTGGGTGTCATTGCGCCACTTGTGAGTGGTTGAGGTGAGGTTTCTTTTTGTAGTACCTTCGCCTGCAGAGCTCCTACGGTCAGGTGTGAGGATCTCTCACCACTTGTTTTCCTCTCTCCCTCTCTGTCTCTGCCAATCCATCACTCTGCCATGGGTAAATGGAGGGCCGGAATCGTCACTACTCCTCTTTCACCTTTCATTGTATTCCTCTTGCCTCCTGTGCGCCTCATTATCTGTCTTCATCATGTACCTCTACCCTTAGCCCCTCAGCCAAAATCTTTCTCTCTGTCCTCTTCTCCCCCTAATTGCAGTCGATTGTGAAGACAGTGACGACGTTGATGATGGCAGTGTTTGCGTTCAGCTCCTTTCTCTTCCCTCCTGCTCCGTATTTCCTCACCGACAATGATATCCACTGTAATTAGAGTGTCCCTCCATCACCACCAACACCACTAACACAACAACAACTACTACCACTACCACGACTTGTGCGTGTGTTTTTTGTGCATCCTTGCCTACTCAAGTGCGTCAATTTTTTGTCCAAATCGGCGATGTTTGAGATGGACGGGCATTGATGTACCGGCGAATCTGTCAAGCAATTGTTCATATTGTCGTTGCTTGGTTGTTGTGCGGTGGGGACGTGAATTGTGTGGAATTGTGTGATATGTTGAGGAGCCCAAGGAGGATTTGGATGAGGCAAGTGGATGTGTGAGCGAGAGGACACCATTTGGGGTGTGGGTAAGCGTGGCGTCATTTATGTATGTTGCTTTCGGTCAGTGTGATGGCACGCCTGGAGTGGAGTGATGATCGTGGTGCAAGTGCAAGGGTGATGTTTGCGGGTGTGTTGGCAGTCATTGTGGTGATCACGTTGGCGTGTTCTTCGTAAGTGCACGCTCCCACGCTCTGGTAGAGGAGTTGGGGTGGTGGGGAGGGGAAGGGTAAAAGGTTGCATTACGGGTGGACCGAGTTGGTTAGGCAGTTGAGCAGAGCTTTAAGTGTGATTGGCCGTCATGTTTTAGGGAGTGTCAAATGCGGTCCGGTTGGAGTTTGGGGGAGGGGGGGTGTGGGGTAGGAGGAGTAGGTTTGGAGACGTTGCATTGGTTT